GTAGACACCATTAAAACTCGTGTAGCTGTTTCCATTTTCAGTCGTAAGATCAGTGGTTTACTTAGATCTTTATCAGTCGGCACACTGATTTGTCGCGCCGGTCTGATTAAACATCTGCTGATAATAAGTTCATTTAATTCATTGTACAACTCAGCGAGAAGGGGCAAGTTGCGTTTGTGGAAGCGAAATTCGGACAGGCAATCGTCGTCTTCAAACCATGACAGTGCAGAAACCGGGGTTTCCGACGGTGCTGCTTAATGTTTGTGAATTCCCGCTACAACGGCGTTCTCTCCCCAGCCTTCTCACAGGTTTCGGCGTCCCCGTCGCCGTCCGCGTTCCCGCTGCTTAAAGTCCGTGAAATCGTTCCCGAACCCGTCAGACACTTAGTAGAGATATAATAAATACATTGCTATCCTGGTCTTCTTGGTCCGTACTGTAAGTTGCGGTTCCTCGTTTTTTCCCCTTCAATTTATGGCGGGAAAAAACTCAGTTCGTAAATTACAGCACGGACCAAGAAGACGAGGTGAAAAATTATATATGTATTCACTGACGTACAGATAAAAATTGGCAAGACAGTATTTTCTGCTCATCGCTTGGTATTAGCTGCCTACAGCAGTTATTTCCACGCCATGTTTACAGATTTTGTCTTTTTCTGTTACTTTTTGAGTATCCAATTCATTACAGCCGATCAAGATGATAAGACATGATAAAAAATAAAAGCGACCTTGTATTTGCATACAGTAGCCACACTAGCAGAGTGAGCCGTGGCCATGCAGTTGTCATTTGCATTTAACAAAAAGTTTCCACTTACAGAAATTCTGTTTTCTTGTGAACAAATATCTCTTCACGCCAGGGTGGCAAAAAACGTTAGAGAAATAACATGCGAAGTGATCGAGTGCTTAAACGAAGATAAGGGTTTGCAATTGACGCCCCATTCTGTTACCCATGTTTGAGCGCCTTGGTTAACGGAGGCACTGTCACACTTTTGCCACCAATTAAAGCAGTTTTTTTTCTTCTCATCACAAGCCAAGAAATATTACTAAATCCCGGCTCCTAATCGACTTGGCGCTAAGAGCTTAAATATCGTTAAAAAAAAAATTCTTCTCTATAGATTTGCAAAACATCAGATGAGCCGAGATGAGGGCTCTAAAACCACCGTACGTGTAACGAAGGGTAACAGAACCCACATTATATATGTGTATACAATTTAACCCTTACAGCTCAAGAGCGTTCAAATGAATGCACTGTTAAGTTTGATAAAGGCATTTATTACATACAACGTAACATCAAATAAAATAACCGTGAAATAATCTTTAATACTCCCTAAACTTCATTTATTTTTAGTATTTTTCGCGACTACAAAATTTAGATAATGTTGTAAATGTTTCTTAAATTTGATTAATTTTGATTGTGTAGTTATTAGTAACTTAGTAATTTAAGTAATTGTTCCTGAAAAGCCCCATTGGGGAGGTAACAATAAAGTATGTATGTATGTAAGACAATAAAAACAAGTTGGTTTATATTCCGAGGGACATGTTACATTTCAAAGTGTGTTGCGTATTTGTCTACAGATGTGTCTGATATTCAATTATAGAAAGTGTTGGATTTTGGCAAATTAATACTGAACCTCAAATAAACTGATTAAAAAAACACCAGGAATCTTTCTTGAGAATCCGATTTTTACTCAAAGCCCATTATATCGAATCTGACCCTATTTTTACTGAATTTTGAAACAATAGCTGCATATTAAGGTTAACTTAGATTACACTTTGTTTCGTATACAACCAAGCCCTACGTGCGGAAAAAAGTCAAATAAACGGAAATTATATATACATAATCACTCCGTGTTCAAATTCTCTTTATTAGCTGGCAAGTAGCAAAGAACTGATTTACTGTTAACTTTTCCCAGACTTTCCCAGTCGTCCAAATCAACCTGATACTTTTCTCCGGGTGGGATTCTGATGCCACTGTCGATTGGAAATCTGTTTATGATGAAATACACTCTCCCTTCTACTTCCACTGCACCAAGTTTGTTTGGTGGAATGTGGTCCTGTTTTACAACAGACCAAGAGTCGTTTTGTTCATCATAAAATTCTACAGGGGCCGAGTCACCATATGGAGATTTGTATGTATCGGTAACCTTAACATTACCCCCTGCAACATGGAGTTTGCCGTTCACCGCAAAAAGGGTGGATCCAAAATGAGGATGACATGTTGAAGCTTTTCTTTCCCATTTATTCTCTACTGGATCAAAATAGACCAGTACTGCTGGCTTCACACGCCAAGAATTTTCTGATTTTGATCTACTTCCATAAAGCACATACACCTTTGAATGGAACACTGTTGTTCCACTATTATGGAAAGAGCCACTTCCATTTTCACAGCTGGGAATAATTACTTTAGCATACCTTTGCCATCGACGCTTAACAAAGTTATACCTTTGAGGAACCTGACCGCTATTAAGGGTATTACTGATTGCATACATGTAGTCCCCGACGGTGCGCAGCTCACTGACTACTCCCAATGAGTGCGGGATATTTTCCCACACTTTCTTTTCTGTGTCATAAGAGTAAATATAGTACGTTGGCCTAGAGTCCGTCACAACTACAAATAGCTTACTTCCAACCAAGCATGCGGACAAGAATGTTTTCGCTTCAATCTTAAGTTGTGGTGTTGTGGAGGCCGCCCAAGATTTCCACAATTTTGTTTCAGCATCATAATATTGCATTGGAGCCTGAGGTATGACAGCAACAAGAACCTAAAGTAGGAAAAATGGTGTGCGTTTATTATGGAGATCAGATACGGCAATTTTAAAATACATTTAACTGCAGGTAAACCATGAATGAGAGTAAGAGCTTGCAAGGAAGGTTAAAAGCAAAACACAGGGACAAGGACCGAACATGAAAGAGTGTGAGGAAAAGTACTTACGCAGCCACTTGCACGCGAAAAAGCACGCTCGTAAACGCAAGGACACGAACGCATATTTGCGCCCTTGAATTGCGATAATGGGCATATAAATTAGAAGAATATCACAATTTACCCTTGAGTAGCAAGTGTAAATTAACTTTCTCTGAAAGCAAATTTGGTGCGGGTTAAAGCAAGAGAAAATGAGGGACCCCTTATTTTCTCTTGGTTAAAGGGATAACGTTAGGCAACAATCATACCAGCGCTTTTACGGATGTAAACGAAACAGGGTTCTCTTTCTTACCTGACTCACTGACCTTGGTTTAGCTTTTTCTACTGCAAACTCGGAGCTGTTTAAAGGTCTGCAGTTATGGATCAGTGATTCATGTAAGTGCTTGCGGATCTCTGGAACTTGCTGCATTTCCTCTGTATTCAGCTCTTCAATTATGTCTCCGATATCCACCAGCCCCAAACGAACAGCTCCAATAGCTTTGCCCGCAACTGCAAACCTCTCTTCTTTCTTGTATTTGATCCACTGCATCACTGATTTGAAGACGAAGGCCTCCGAAGGTGCGCTGAGGTCATCTCGATTGAGGAGACCGATAAATTGGTCTGCGCTAATATACGACAAAAATTCTTCACTTTCAGAAACATCCTTGTACATCAAAGCCATCTTGTGCTCTCCTGCTTCTTTCAGATCCTTCAGACCATGTCTGTCAGCAACTGTCCATATGCGACAGTATGTTTCCACGTCAAAGTGAAGCTCAATTAACTCGCTCAACAAGTAGTCACAGCACTGTTGAACAACACTTGTGACTTGAAGGTGGTCAGCTGCGGCAAGAACTTCAAACACGTTTTCCTCGTTGACAAGGAGATCTCCAGTGTAGATGGAGTCTATTACAATCTTTAAAGAATCTGGTGAAATGCTTTCATCTTTCAATTCGATCACTTCCTGGCTGGACTCCTTCATTCCATTCGTAAACATGGCGTGGAAATAACTGCTAAAGGCAGCTAATACCATGCGATGAGCAGAAAAGATTGTTTCTCCAATTTTCAGTTGCACGTCAGTAAATAAACATTCTTCTTGAAACTGGGCACACTTCAAAAGAAGAACGTTTGAATGCGCGGTCATCTTCATTGCAAAGTCTGTAACACGTACAACCGCAGAGATATATTTATATTTATTATATGGCTGTGTCTCACAAGGACTGGGAACTACCGAATTCACGAATTTGATTGGCTGAAATCGATATTGACCGCGGTCTAGATTTTCCNACTTAGCTCGGTTAATAAGAGCTAAGTATTGCCGGTTCAGTCATGGTTTATGCATCGTGATTATGGTAATAGATGGAAATTCCATCACTCGATTACCTCAAGTCACGGAACTTAACGTTACATTTAAAACAGAGAGGTCTAAAGATACTTCCCACTGCTGCCGCTACAAGAAGCTTAACTTTAAGATGGAACAAGAGAAAATGATGGAATTATTCTGAACGTAAGATGCAATTGAAAAGCTTGAGAAGTTATATTTATACTTGGAATATTCCAAAGGGGCGCACCCTAACTTGCTAGCTAACCACACACTTCCGCACCAGACTTCAACCCGCCAGATCGTTTGAGTCAAAGGCGAGCCCTATCGTTCTACCTGCTACCCATCAAACCTCCGTCAATTTAGTAGCGCAGTTGCTTGTAGCAGGAAGCATGAATTTCTGTACGCGATTTGCGGTGAAGTGCGCAAAGCGCAAGAGTTCACACAGAGAGAAAAGACAACCTGAAACGATGAAACATGCCTGTACCATTTTCACTTGTGCCTTGCGCGCGATAGCTACCAGCCATCTCCTCCCTTGTTAGAACACTCCCTACTACGTTCACAGCAATCATAGGCTTCAGGTTCTCGACAGAAACGGAGAAAAAACATGACCGTGCTGGGCGTCTACTATCCCGAGAACGAGGATGACTTCTTTACCTGAGAGAAAAAGAAGAAACATAAACTTGCCTGAGGAAAGCAAATCGACGAAGATGTCCTCGCCTTTGCCTTCCCTACAAATACAACGGCGACCGACGCTTAAATGGGTGTGTCCCTTACACCTCTTTATTTAGCGACATTAAAATTAATTCCATCTTATTTTATGAGAAATATGCCCGTCCGAAAAAGAATGTATTTCACGTTGCGATTGTGTGTTTTGCATGTATATCTGGATTTATGAAAACCGTCCTAATTTCGACACTTTCCACAGTTCCCCATCCAAAAACGCGAAGTCCTCTACAATACAAATTTCCATAAGGACATCTACAGCGCATGACCAAATGGTGTTTTTCTTCGCGCGCGCCGCGAATCGCGTCGATTTCCTGAGATCTTGGAGATCAGTATGGAAATTAACGGGGGAAGATTGAACGGATCACTAAAGTCCCCTTGAAATAATCACCATCATGGGAATTCTTTTCTCCAGATGGAGGGTAAGTGTTGTTAAAACGGCTACCGTGTCTTTATCGTGGTTATTTTCAGTTAATGATGAAGGAAATATTTCAGTCGATGCAAGCTGGTGCTTGCGCCAAGCGTCGTGAGCTTTTCTTTGATCTCTCTTCTATTCGTACAAGACAAGTCCTTGTGCTTAGACGTTTTGTTTTTGGCAGAAAAAGGAATCTTTAGGAGAAGTGTTGGAATTGCTTGAAAAGGTGAGACTTATTGACAAGTAACATTTCTATACAGTTGCAAGTTTGTAATTGTACTCTCTCTTGTTTTGGCAGCGCAGTTGATCTGACGAAAATTGGGCTTGCTCACATTTTATATTTTGCATATTTTATGGTTGATTATATTTTTATGGCAGTGATTAACAATATTTCGATTGAAAATATGCTCTTGTTCGGTTTCAAAAGGAAGTGCTGTTTGGTAGAACAAACCGAAATTTTGATCAAAATGTTTGCCAGGTTACAATGTGGATTAAAGCCGAGAGAGGTTTCACAACTCGCTCAACTATTTACACATTTTCTAAATTAGTCCATGATCTTTCTTTCGTTTTAAAAACGTTAAAACACCATTTGGAAATAAGCAGACACTCCTAAAAAAACTGACTCTCAAAATGAATTATTATTATGTCTGTTTACTGTGCCAGGTAGGGGAATTTACATTAGAATTTGAATTTTAATTATTAATGACATTTATTTCCAGTAATGTTTTGAACAACTTGATCATGAAATAGTGGACTAAGGACAGTACCTAATAAATACACAGGCTCTTTTCGTCAAATTAGGAACATATGGAAAAAGTGGCTCTTAGCAAGGGCTTTTGGAATCCAAAGAAAACTGGTGTAGTCATGCATGTCTCTGAGATAATTAACCTTGAATCTCAAATAAAAATGCTGGTGTCAGCATTTTTCTGAAAAAGAAGGAAACACTATTTTTAGGTATTTTCTTAGAATTCCCCTTTACACATGCACATGGTAAATGGTGACACACACACAAAAAAAGTTTTGGTGTTGTTTTTAATAACAAAATCATCGCCACAGCACTTTTAGTGTCCCTGACAGTTCTCCTCTTGTTTAGCCAAAATGCAGTCAAAATATATTTTCCTCGGAACCACACAACCAGAAACTAAACATGTCTTGAATAGGCTTGCCACTTTCATTTTATAACATGAAATGTTGGGGCAACCGTAAGTGTACAACCCCCTGAAAATAGTGATTTTCACAGTTGTTAGCAAATACTGAAAATACTGACCTTGTTAGTGATAGTGAGAGTGCTTCAACAATAGTGACTACAAACTGGATACTAGCATGTTAAAAGACAGTGAAACAACACATACAACATGCTTTACACAAACCTTAACTTATCTTTTATAACATTTTTCTTCTTTTTTCTCGTGTAAGGTCTTGTGCAGTATATGTTGAAGGTCTGGACACCTGGTTCAACGTTGGGTAGAATATTGCTTGCAATGACTAAATTGCATTGTGAGTCCACCTCTGAAATGTTGCTTGCAACATTGCATGCAGTGCTGTTCTACTTCTGCAGTATTGCATGTAACCTTTTCAGGGTGGACACACGTTTGAAAATTGTTATGCAAACATTGCACAAAATGTTGCACCATGTGTCCATCCCGATCTGTGCCTCTAGCTACCAGAAAGTAGCAACCTTGACAGTTGTGGTTCTCAAAAGAAGTAAAGGAAAAGACTGCTAAATTTGAAAGTAGCTTGTCTCACAGAACTTTATGGAATATCTGTAAGGATTCTCAAACTTCACACTATAGCCATTACATTTTACTTTTCTCACTCAGGATATTGAGGCATTAAAATCAAGTCAGCAAAGAACAGAGAAGCTCAGGAAGAAATTTATTGGTTCACTTATCCTTTACTCGATTCTCCTCTACATTGTAGCAGCTCTTATTTGCTACTTTTATGATTTTCCAAAGTCTTGGAAAGCTAAAGTTGTTCGATCAATTCCACTTCTTGTCTTTCCTTTTGTGTAAGTATCATCTGTTACTGCATTTCCTGTAGTGGGGATGGCACAGTGGTGAGAACACTCACCTCCTGCCAATGTGGCCCAGGTTCGATTCCGGTCCGATGTCATATGTGAGTTGAGTTTGTCCTTGGTTCTCACCTTGCCCCAAGGGTTTTTCTCCGGGTTCTCTGGTTTTCTCCCTTTCACAAAAAACAACATCTCCAAATTCCAATTCGACCAGGATAAAGGACCTGCATGAAAACCGGTCAAGGCTGACGTGGCTTCCTCTCTAAATATTGTAATTTAATTAGTGTTCCATTTGTGTGGTTACTAGATACAGACCATTAGTTTGAAATGTGCGGTTCCAGAAAATATCCATACTCCCCCCACAGAAGGGATTGGAATTTCCTGGGGGGTGGGGGTTCTATGAGACCAAAAAATTTAAAGAAATGTACAGTATCAAGCTTAACTGGAATTTCCAGAGGGGTAGGGAGGTGTTAGAAAAAAATCCCTTCTGTGGGGGAGGTATGGATATTTTCTGGAACTATACAATAAGTAAAAGTCAGTGAAGGGTGGGGGAGGGGGAGGGAGTTTGAAAAGACAGAAATAAAACTGCAGAAAAGTTGCACATGCCCATAAAAAACTTGCACAGCAAGCAATCCAGAAAAAAATATATTTGCATTGAAGAGTACATAAAGATATTTCAACCATTATGTAAAATAATAATACGTGAGATCTTAATATAAATCTTTGTAGACAGTCATTAGGAGAACTGTGAGCTGAGTGCTAAAAGTAGTCAACATTTTGTTCTTTATCATTTAGTGTGTATTTATTAAAGAGGGTTCTCCATTATGTCTTTGTCAGCCGAATGAGTAAAAATGGTGAGTGCTTTTGTTTTGTATAATTAATAGAATTTTCTGTGAGCCTAGTTATAGCTTCTTCAGAAATCCTCCAGGGGGGACTTCAGTTCTGAATGGAAAATAAAATGTAGCTGTTTTATTGAAACTTTTTGAATACTTGTCAATGTTGTTCTATTTTAAAAAATTTTTAAAAAAATAAATTAAGTCTGGCAAAGGAAGTAGATGCGATAAAGTGATAATAACTGTGCCATGTTACTAATAAGCAAATTTTAAACCATTTTCTACCAAATTTGGCTCTAGATTGAAATTTCAGTTAGTTATAACAATCTGTTTTTAAATCAGGTAAAAAAAATATTATTTATCATATTCTAAATTAGAGATGAATAGTGTTGAAGAGCATTTTCACTCATGGCCAGCAGCCATGCAAATTTATTGGAACAAAAAGAATATGTTTACATAAGGAAAGAGTTCAATTCCCACAATATTGGTGTGGAACACCAGCGTGGCCGTTGTTTTATTGTTTGGCACACCAGTATGGTTGCTGTAGAGTCATATGGAAACACTATAACTTTTTAGGAAAGATCACCTTATAGCAATCTAAGTTTATTACTTTGTGGATTTTGTTTTTATTTGCAGCAAGGAGGCTGGAAGAATTAAAGGAGAGAAAGAGAGAAGTTGTGAGTAGACAAATATCCATTTACGAATGTCTATTATTTTGTTTGTATCGTAATCTTGACTTGTTCTTCTCCTGAAACAATTTTTGCCTAGTCACAGCTTGTTTTGCTTTACATTTAATAACTTTCTGTTTTTTGCTGTTGTTTAGCTTGAGGAAGTGATGGAAAAAGAAACCTATAAAGCAGCAAAAGATCTACTGGATAAATATGATCCAAACTCTGAAATAGTAAAGGTAATATTTGTGGGCAGTGAACTTTAATATTAGATACTAGATATTACAGAATAAGATATTTGTTTTGATTTTACATTTTTAAGTTTAGCATTCAAAATTTGAATCAAACACAGTCAAACCTCCAGTGAGCGACCACCCAAAATGTCAAGCCTAGGTGGCTGCTTACGAGAGCTTATACCATATTGAATCAAAATTTTGCCTCATTAGCACATGGTAACCTCCATTGTCAATGCAATGTGTTATTCATGTGAAAAGTTATTTTTGAGAAAAAAATCTGGTTCTTCCCATTGAGAAATTTCTGTCTCTTGTACCACCCAGGAACAAAGTAATGTTACAACACCTTATTATTCAATTTCCTCTCTATTACCTGTCAAGTGGTTGCTTACATTAAGTTTAAAAATGAAAGAAAATTTCAAACCTTATGCTCTAAAAGTGGTTGCGGTCAGTTATGAGAGGTGGTTGCTCACAAGAAGTTCCAAATATAGTGATTTGACGTGGAAACTTTTGGTATTTTGGAAAACTGGTTGCTGAGGAGAGGTGGTTGCAACTGGAGGCTCAACTGTAGTTCCTTCTTTAACCTAGAAGGCTTCACTTGGACAGCAAATGGATTACCTTAGCCTAATGTACATAATTATTGTAAATAATTAGTTTTAAATTAATCACACTATTCATATCATATCGTTTAATTTATATTACTCATATGGTTTGTTAGGCGCATTTGATCATATTCACATGTTAATTTGCGCCTTAGAAATATTAAATATTATTATTATTATTTTTATTATTATTATCTATTTAAAGTGTTTTGATTACATGTATGTATAATTCTGCTACTGTTAGGTGGAGAGAAAGGACACGCCCACATCTCCCGCAAATGCTATACCACAAAGTCCAAGTGGCACTATAGGAACAGGTCAGAAAAAGGAACATGACTTCCTTTAACTCTCCATACTGATTACTATGCAAGTGACATTAGTTTGTGGAATTTAATTCTGTATCAAGGCAACACTCTTAAGCTGACATGCACTTCTAATATATGTTGGTCAAATTCAGACTTACAATGAGTAAGGCGAAGCCTTTTAAAAGCTAGCAACATATAAAGCAACTCATCCACAAGTGCAATTTCAAACACACACAAAAAAAGTTAAGGTAAAGAAAAAATTGTGTAACTGACTTGGCAAGAAAGTGGCTTAATAAATTTCTATAAATTCATAGTGTAGTGAGGGTGTAGAAAGAATAACTCTCATTGCATACTCTGGCATTGCATGCTGTCATGCCAGAATAACAGCTCTACATTTAACTCAGTCAAAGCACTGAATGGGGATAACTAAAAAATTCAGCATTGAGAAAAAATTAACTGTCCCAAGACCTTTGGGCACAGAGACCTCTACTTCCTATATTAGTAACTTCTGTTTCTTCTTTTCAGAATTGAGACAAAGGAATGTGTTGCCTAAGGTCGAGAGCCCAGGGGTTCCATTGCAGCGGACCATCTCTGAACCCACACTTGCGGAGTCCCCCTTTCAGTCGAACCAGTCAGGGGACTCCAACAAGTTAAACCAGCAAGCCACAGAGCGACGGAAATCCAACAGCCTCATGAACATATCCACATCATCTGCTGGTAAGACTTGTGCTTGCATTTATTGGTTAAACCATTTAGCATCCTTAATTGAAAAAAAACTGACAATAATTTTGGTTGATTGAAAACTGACACATTTACATGTAGACGGAGCCGTACATTCTCTCTTGCTCTCTTGCATTGGGGAGATATGGATATTTTCTGGAGCTACACAAGTCCATACTCACAAAATAGTGTAACCTCTTTTAGGTGCAGCATCTCCACTGTCTCATGGTGTGCCTCACAGAGTAGGCTCTCCTGGTCTTATGCCACGGCCAGCTCAACCCATCTTACCACGAGACAGAACAGCTATGGATAAGGTTGGTCTTCTGTTATTACACTTTGGAGCTGTTTCATTTGGTAGACATTATTTTAGTTGATTCTTTTAATGGTTGACTAATCTGATCCTCTGTCGACTGACATTAGTGAAAAATAATGTTCGTTATGTACATGGCCTTAGCTTATGACCAGTACACTCTTTTTACTGATCAAGAAAGTATTTTTTGTTATTTTTTAGTTGCAAGTTAGTGTTATTTTTCCAGTGCTGTTGGTTTTGTTTGAAGGTAGATTTCTTAGTCAACAATTTTTGGTCTCACTAGCTTCTTTGTAGTCAATACTTACTATGTAAAATTGTTTGAATTGTTGCCTGCTTTGCTCATCTCATATACCTCCTTCAATCATTGTCCTAACGGGCCACCAACTGAAATTTGATTGTTTCAGGTGATAGAGTATCTTGTCGGTGATGGACCAAATAACAGATATGCTTTGATATGCAAGCAATGCTGCTCTCATAATGGAATGGCTCTGAAGGAGGAATTTGAATACACAGGTAACAGTATCAGCTTGTCACTGATGATGTAGCTTGAAAAAATGTCTGAGTGGTACTTGGTTACAACAGAAGTCAAACCCATGATTCTCCATACAGTAGGCAGACACTCTCAGTACCACTGAGATGCTGGGGTCATGGGAGGAGAGTTAGGTCATACAACTACAGCTGCAGGCAATTTAATGGTGTTGGAAATGCACAAAAACTGAGAAAAAAAACTTGTTATAACTACAAAACAGGTGTAGGCACCCCCCTCCCCACCTGGTCCATTCTTTCAGTGCTGGAAAATTATAAAATGTAGACATGAATCAGAAAGAAAAGCATTTCGTCCACATTGTGCAGTACCAGAAAATATCCATGTTCCCCCACAGAATGGATTGGAATTTCCTTGGGGGTAGGGGTTCTCTAAGACCAAAAAATTTAAAGAAATGTATCAAGTTTAATTGGAATTTCCAGAGGGGTGGGGGGTGGGTCTTGGAAAAAATCCCTTCCATGGGGGAGGTATTGATATTTTCTGGAACTACACATTGCACAGTGGCGGGGAGACGCAAAACACATTGAAAATTATGATTTTTTTGACACTTGTAACAAGGATTACACATCCAAATGTGAATCAAACCTCAGGGATTGTGTTCTGAATTTTGAAAATTTGTTTGTGATAACTCTCTGCCAAGACTGTCCTTTAAAATGTTGGATGCTTCGGTAGAATATCAATGTAAAGTTTGCTGTAAATTGTTAGTTGGTCAACTTGTGTTATTTTTCTTAGCCTTTAGATGCTGTTATTGTTACCACTTGAACCCTGCGCGGAAGCAACGCCCCATCGCACCAAAATTGGACTATGACACCTGGACCAACCCAAGACACATATCTGGGCAGGGGCCAGGGGTGCGTCACAGGAAGCCCACCAATTCTGTCCAAGCTATGCTGGAGAAAAAGAATGGTACGTAATGAGAACACTATTAATTTCAACATGGAAATTCTCATTAATGAAGTTCTTTATTCTCTGCTTTAATTTCAGTATAGTGTAGTCAACCGAAACTGGAAAGTGTGCCATTTTATTTTTTTTTAGTTGCACAGAAGGATGATGGGGCAAGTGCTGTTAACGGCAGTGCTTCAATGAATGGTGATCATGATGCAGTGGACAAGACAAAAGGTGAAACTGTTCAGTGTTAATCAAAAGTCTATTTTTCCTTAAACAAATGTGGGAATTGTCTGATAGGAAAAATCAGAATTTGTTTTGAGGATTTAAAACTTGGGTGTGTTTGGAAGAAAAGTGACCAAGTTCTAAACATTTTTATGCTTCTTCTCTTCTGATCATGTAAAGACTGGTTGTTTGACTGATTTTTGGGATTGGAGATTTCCCTGAGATGTTAGACAATGGGATCAATTATCATAGGTCTGAAATCATATGTCAGAATTTCTTTCTGGTTGAAGTTTCTCTGAGTAGGTTTCACAACACACCAAATGCATATCATCTAGCAGTATGCATGAATGATGCTAGGGTAGGTTCCTGGGGCAGAGACTCCCCTTTAAAAATGACAAGGGTGTTCTGCAAAGATTTTGCAAAAAGCTTGAAAATTTTTGAAACATTTCAAGTGAAATTCAGTTGTCTGACATAGTTTCTGTCACTCTTTGGTTCAGCACCCTAAAAAGACCAATATAACTCTTAACAAAGGTCATTGCTGAACTGACCAACCTAAAGTCTGGTTTTCACTAGCAACAGAGTCAGAGTCAGCGTTTTAATCAGAAATGCAAAGTGATACGATCTTGTGAAGATCAGACCAACAAAGTCAAAAGCAGAACACATATTCTGCTCACTAACAAAGAATAAACCCATCACAATGCTTTCAAGCATTGTGATTGGTTGGTTCTTCCAATTCTGCTTCCAAAGTTCTCCAACAATCTAGTTTTCACTGGATCATAAGTGACGGAGCTGTAAGCAGAATCTGAAGAAAAAAGAAGTGTTTTGGTTCTTCCAGCTCCGATTCTGTCTAGCTTATGACTCAACTTACGACTCCGATTTTTGATTTCACTTGGTTGTAACTGTTCTTACGACTACAACTGCAACTCCGTCGTTAGTGCAAACCAGCCTTAAGTGGTACTAATCAGCAAATGTTATCCCAAAACCCCTCTCACTTTTATAGGGGTGGCACATTTCTTTAATCTGTCCTTTTTACAATGTCTTTGCAGAAGAAGCTGAGAATGGCTCTGTTTCTAACTTGGAAAAGAAAAAAATAGAGAGCAGTGACCAAGAACAGTAGAATGATGTGGTTTCATGCTTATGAAGAGGATACTTTCTTCTGCTGGTTGCTGAAGTCTGAATTATACAAGATAAACACAGCTGATGTTTTGTCGATCAATGGATATTAGAATTCTTAAGATCAGCTAGCAATGAAAGATAATTCCACTGAAAGTTCAGTTTATTTCAGGGTACCACTGTCTTCACGGCACTGCAACCTTCGAAGTCAAAACGCTCTTTGTAATAGACTTCCCGTTAATCAAACAGTGGTACCTTTCTTGGAATGCTGGTATCCCAAATCGGCTTCACATGGCCTTATGTCCCAGCCAGGACGATGAGGATTAATGAGTTAGGGAAGCGGCCTCACACTCATGGCAAAAATGTCAGTGATGGCAAACTTGGCTCTTTGGGGAGTTTGAATGCGAATAGCGAAGAAAGCTATGATTTATTCTTGTTTGAGCCCAATTTGGAGTTGTTGTTGGTGAAAGGCCTCAGTGGAATTAGAAATCTGTCAGCGTCTTGCCGATGTTTATCTCCTTTTTGTGTACACCTATTTATTGTGCTCACACATTAGATTACATAATGTTCTCTTAAGTCCAGCAATGTGCCAGATGAAATGGGACGTGCACACAACCTTCTCCATTTCCACTTATGGTTTTTGTGTACAGTAATTGCGACTTCTCTCTGCAAGTGTTGGGAAATGAAATCAGTATCACGTGAAAGGTCACAAGAATTTGGCCAGCTGACCACATATGCAAATTGATTTCACAAAGCAACAGTAAATCACTAACTTTCTTTTACATTTGGACTGTCCAATGTTTGTGCTCCTTCCAGTGATGGTAGTTAGATCTTCACTTTTTGAAAGCTATCTTTTTTTCATAAATGCCAAGCTGCTTCTATAGACCAGTATTCCATATAAGGTGCCTCTGTTTGATGGAAGACTATTACAAAGAGCATTTTGACTTCTAAGGCTGTGTAGCAGTGAAAACAGTACTATAAACCACAAGAATTCAATAATTGTCCATTTATGTCAGGTGCGACATAGACTGTTTATTTAAATGATGTTGATGACAAAGAGAACAATGTCTTGCTAAGGATGGCCTAGATGGAAGGCCAGGTGTACTTGCTGAGAACAGAAATGGAGACCAACTGCTTACTGGTGTGAATGTACAGGAGAACAACTGTGTTAACTTCCTCTTATGATTAAATAAGGGACTACCCTGCAAGGCAGAGATTCCCTTCTCTGACAGAGAAGGGAATCTGTCTTTCAGGGTAATAAGGGACTGATCTTAACTTGCTTTTTGAGGAGCTCAAAACATGTTCAACTCTAGAGGGTACAGGGTGCCCAATCATGAAAATGAATTACGACATGCATGACAAACTTAAACTCCGAGGCTCGAAATTAAAAGTAAAGCAAAAATTCCTTTTCAACATGTGAAATTTTGGTTGTAAGATATAATTCTTATATAGTGATGTACACTGTGCTATTACCAGTTGAGAATTAATTTTCTTATCATCTGTTGACATGTAAGTGTTGAGTTAACATGATATTTACTGCTTGTGGCATGTTTACTTTTACCTTGTCAGATTTTGCTTGGTTTGCACAGAACCTATCATAAATTTGTAAAAACTGAAATATTTGAAAAAAGGCAACCTTAATTAAAATGTTTGTCAAGTGGCAACAGTACAGCATGCACCTCTGCAAGAAATTGTTTTTGATATTTAGTTAAACATTGAAACGTTTTATTGTACAAAGTGAGAGATCATTATTTTAAGACAGTTTTGAGCAAGCACCTGGTTACACTGTCCCTTTAAATTTATTTTGAATTGAAGCTGAAGATATTTCAGGCTGATTATAATATGTAAGTGTCAGTGACTCCCTGGGTGAAAACCTGAACATTTTCACAGAGTGGATGTTTGTTTGCCTAAATAGTATATTAAGTTATTTTGCGATGAAGGATGTTACATTATGAGAATAAAGTTGAAATGTTAAAAACAGAAAATAGTAATTATTTCCTTTATAAAGAAGTCTGGAATTTTTCTGTTATTGGGGTGTTATTGGTTTGTAGTTATGGTAACACACAAGTGAATGTTTGGGGTATTGGGGAGGAGGGGGGAGACAACAACAAGAACCACCACCATTTCCCCCCACCCAACCACCCTAAACTTTCAGAGGGTCAAAACTGGCATGGGACCAATTGTACCCTTTTTAATATATGTCCTGGTACCAATGTGCAAATTTTCCTTAGGTCATCTTGTCTTCTACTAATATTATAGTACTGGTAAAATCCTTGCCAGAAAAAGTGTAGCTATTGTCTTTTCCTTTTTTCAGTGGACTATTTTTTGTGGAGTATTTTGATGTTAGTTAGTGGTGAACCTAAAAAAAATTAAGTGGAGGATTGAAAGGACTTCCAATACCCTACTCTTTCAATCTATCTCTTTTTTCATAACTATATAATTTATATACGTTTATCTTCTTCCATCAGGTAATTAACGAGGTTTCCCTAAATTAGCAATTTAGATCTTGATTTGTTCTCGTTTCACAAGCGCTTTACCTCTTTCACCGAATTTTTCATTTCGTAGAATGATACAAGTATTCAGACAATAAATAACCGAAAATGCTAATGTATGTCCTCTTCTCCAATTTGAATTTTTGTTTTTCATCGAAACGATTTAGAGCCAGTATATATCGTTGAAATGTTTGAATTAAAATTCTCATTGAGACTGCTTTAGGGGGACCTTCCTTTTTCAACAACAAAAATCAATTTTGATATATATATAGATTGACTTCAAGCAAAAAAAAAATACAAGGAAAATGATTTAGCTGACTGCATATTGATTAATTACTTCCCTTCATATGTATAGCAGGTGATTTGTGTCACTGCAGGAAGAATTAGTTTAATAAAAATCATTTTAGTGACAGCTGATGGCAATCATCGGAAAATTGTGTTTTTCTTTTGGCGTCTCATTATCCTGTGCGATTCAAAATCTAGTGCTCCTCCATATTTCAAGTCAGAAAAGTCCACGAACATATCGTAGTTTGACTCATTGCGAGAAATCCTAAAAGATCGAGAAAAATAACAAAACTTCCTGTGATGAAATTATTCTGAAATATAAGCTCAACCCCTTTCAGCACATTTTCACGTGCATAATTACGGAAATAGCAATAGAATTGAACTGAGACCAACTCACTGTGGAATCGTTCCCCAAGAAAATTTTCGATACATCGACTAAATTGATTTTCGAAATCCACTTCGACTTTATAGCTTCTTACGAAATTGCTTCTTAAAGACATAAACATCGTGAAATGACTCACGCACGGCTCAGAGATATTAATTTATTTCCGGAAAAGATTGTTTTGGCATACAATTTTCTAATTTTTCAGGAGATTTACATTGAGCAATTTTCTAAAGACAGAGCCTCCGAGCTCTGACAACCCAGAAGCAAAGACCCGGAGCAAAGAAACGAACGTTTGACTTTTTCCCGCCATGTTTTCCAAGCTGTTTACGTCTGACCTGTCAATCACAGGTGAGGTTGTTATGACAACATTAATTTTTGGCCTCGTTCTGCGTAATTCTCGTTTCTGATTGGTTGTCGTTGAAGTCCTGTTGTCGCAGTTGCAAAATGGCGTCTTCTTGAATGTGACCCGCCCCAGAGCCCATGGCTGAAAAAAACACCAAAATGGAGAGGGGCCTCTCGCGCGAATATCTTGCCTTTATCTTTTCCATTTTCCTTGCTCCTCGAACCTGCAGAAACTATCTCAGTCCTTTATCTCGGTGGCTCAAGTTAACGAGAAAATGCCTTCTTCTTTGGCCTGGAATAAAACGAATTGTGTTTTCAGAGTATCGAGCAAGGTGTCATTCAATACGGTTTGGTGTACCAAAAAAGGGCGCTTATAGGGTGTGTGATTTTCTCATTCGCTCATCACCGAGTGGTCGGCAGTTGAACGTAAGCCACAATGGCGAGCGCGTAGGAATCGCTCAAAGGAACGGACTTATACGTTCGCTTTTCGCCGTTCGTTGAACGAAGAACTGCTCCATTTACCTTTATGGAGGAAATACAAACTAAACCTGGTCCTTTGAAGTTTGAAACGAGCAGTTTCGACACAAGTACGTGCAAGCATTGTTTGTATAAACTAGTCGTACGGAAAATTGTATGCATATTTTAGCGGTCCTTTCACGTCTGAATCTTGTTCGACAGGAAACTTTTCTTCGTTATTCAACAACGCTGAAATGAAGTTTTTACTTCGGTTTCGACCGTCATCTTGTTGTGTTTAGGGAATGGCGGACAAATCGAGTAATTTTCCCTATTTGGGTCGTTGAAATTCATTTTAATTTTTCGATTAATATTCGATGGTGTCTTGTCGTTTCTAATTTTTCGTAAATTTATTCCTTTCGCAGTTGATGTTGGTGCCAAGAAAGAGCAAGCCAAAGCGACGAACGTTATGTTTCAAGGAAAGAACATCCACTCTTCGCCGCTGGACGGGAAACTTCTGTGCAGTTACAGCGAAAAGCTTTGTAAGCAAAGGAGACTCAATGGCTACGCTTTCTGTATTCGTCATGTGTTGGAGGATAAAAATGCCCCTTTTAAACAATGCCAGTTTGTGGCAAAATACAACGGACATCAGTGTACAAATCCCATACCGTTTGCCGAGGACAGAATGTAAGCTTATTTGTATTTTCTTTTTCTGTTTCGCTTCTCTGAATTTCAATCTTTCAATCGCTTCCGCGCTTTCTTTGATGTGCGTGGAGTGGAGCGAACTAATCTTTCTCACGATATAGCAGTCGCTTGGTCGTTCTAATTCGAACTTTTATCGTTCCGTTTACTTTTTCAGCTACTGTAATAGCCATTTGCAAGTGTTGGGAATCGTTCCTAAGAAGAATCGACGGAAAAAACCGGGCGAAGGATGTGAAAGCGAAGTGAATTCATCTTCGTCGACCTCTGAATGTAAAGCAAGAACAGATGTTTTAACGACTCCTGCCTCGACAAACATGTCTTCGATTCCCCCTCAACTCTATCCTTTTCGTTTAAAAAAGCCCAAAAATGTACCGCAGAAGAGAACTTATACGAATATTCCTGCGATCGAAGAGTTGAAGGATAGTCAAAGGAAGTGGCAGAAGGATAGGGCAGATTTATTCAAGATTTACGGTAAGAATATACGAAATTTTATTGCTGTACACGCGTTTTCGTGTTTTTGTACAGAATTATTTCATGGCACCTCGATAATCTTAAACACGAGAATATCATGTTACAATAACATCCAGCTTCTGTCCTATTTCATGGCATCGTTTTGCCACGTTCTTTGGTTAAAGACACCCGTTTTCTTGTCATCGTTTCGCTATTCTAACGAAATCTATTTGACCTAATACATCTAATAAAGCTTTGTACGAGAGCAGAAAGATTTGGAATTTATCAAGTTAGCGGATTTTTCCTGTCAAGTAAGGGACATGAGATAATCATGAGATGTGAAGCAGTTTCCTCGTAGGATTTCCCTGAAAAAGATGTTTTGATGAGCGTTACATCCACCAGTTTTCAAGCCACGTTTCTTGTATTTTGAGCAGACAACTTGTTAGGTGGCAGTGTCTTATTTTGTCTGATTTGTTTGGTGTTCTTGCTATGCACCTATGGCGTTTTTTAGCTTGGAAAATTCAGGTATCATCATCAGGAAAATAGACGTGCTATTAGAAATTTAACCAAAGCATATGTTAAAAGAAGTGAACTTGAAAACTGCTGAATTAGGTGAAAATAAAAACACTTTACATCATATGCCGTAATTTTCATGGGGCAGGCCATTTCTGGAAGCAAAGAACTTAAAAGTTTCACAAATAACGAGATAATGTGGTTTGAAATTCCAATTAAGTTTTACCCTAGAATGTACAATACATATTGTAGTCTACATGTAAGCAGTTTAGAGAGAGTGGCTTGAGTTTTCAGTGTTTGTGGGTTAAAGAAAGAGTCTTTCAGTGTGTTTTGATACAAATAGTTGTTGCAAAACGCTTCAACATATATTTTTCCTTAAATGTTATGTTCTTAGCTCTGCATGTTATTGTAGGCATCTCCATGGAAATAATGGGGCTGGGAACTCCTTTAATTTCCACAATACACTGTCAAAGCTTAATTTCTGTTTTCAACATCAGTCATTGTCAAGCTAACAGGTGTTCGGAAATTATATTGGGAAAATCTACTTGGAAAATAACTCCACCAAATTATAATTGCTTGGCAGGGTGCGACAAAAAACGGTGTCCACTTGCCCCAGACAAGAGTTTTTGGCCAGTGGGCAAGTGAGTTTGAGATGTGTAAACCAGTGTAAGAATTAAATTTGTGCCAGATGTCTTTATAAGTTTCGCTATTCACTAATACTATACAGGTTTTGTGACTGATATGTTGTTAGGAGTTGTGTGAGGTGCAATCGAATGCTTTCTGTGTACACTTTATTTTATGTTCACAAAGTTCTTAAACGCTTATGCTGGTATGTCAAACTCAACATTGCTAAAAAGCAAGGTTTGTGAAGCCAAATTGGGTGCACACTGCACTAATTCTTGAAATTCTCATTTGGCTTATTTTGTTTATAAAATGTTCAAGGACAGTTTGTAGCCCAGACAGTCCAGTGAACCAATTAAACTTGAAGCAAATTCATGTAGCGGTGGCAAAACGGGTGAAAATATGTGCGAGTAAGTCCTTATTGCTTTTTTTTTAATTCTGATTGGACGACAAATTAAAGTGAAGCAAGTTTTCCAGCATATCACTTAGCATAGTAATGCAAAACCAAGGTAAATGAGAATTGATTTCAACACTCGGGTGAAAACTGCTTTAACTGGTTGATATATTTCCTTTCAGGTATTGACAGCTCAGATGATGATAGTTCCAGTGAGGGTGATGAAATGCCATGGCAACAAATATGGCTGTCGTCTGACAGTGATCTTGATTACGATGCTCTCAGAAAAGAAAATAACTGGTTAGTTTGTTTGTGTTGGTGATCTTTTAAGATATTATAGAAAGAGTGTACTATAGTGTGAATGTGCATTTTTGAACTCAGTACAGTTGGAAAGTATAAACAAGTACTAGCTGTTAGGGCAATCCAATAAGATGCTGGATGTAACCTGGTTTTTAGTGACCTTCTGTGCAGCTTTATTTTAGCGGAAGCTTGGTATTTCTCCACAAAACATTTTGCCGCCATCTTCAATTTTTGGAGCACGGGGAGTTTGAGGAGAAAAAGAAATTTTTGCCAAGCTGGTGGATGATAGGCGAGCCAAATGACGTGGCAGGGGAAGGAGAGAAAATAGTTCTTTTCCCTTCCTCAACCCCATCCCTGCCCACTCTATATCAACATAGCAGCTTGGTGAGTGATTGCAAACTCAAAGGGTAATTCATGCTCCCTAACAAGATATCTGCTTTGGGGAAGCACAGTATTGACACAGTAGTGGGACTTGCTCTGCCGGACTAAAGCGTGGAACTTATGAGTCTAGTACTAATCATTAATTTAGTTTGTTTTCATTCTGTTCTCTTTAGCCTTGAAGCTGATATACGAACTGCTAAGATTTCCAGACTAAGTACCCAACTTCGCAGGCAACTTCACCAGCTGCGGAGAACACTGCGGTCAGGCCGTAATCGTTACAAGGATCTTTTAGCATCTGGTAGTGTTCTTGTTAAGGCTGTTCACAGTAACAGTTCAGCATGTGTGGATTCTTTACTTGAAAATAGCAAGAAGTCAAGGAAAACAAGGTGAGAGGGAGATAGTTTAAGTGGTCTACATTGCTGTTTCTTAAGTTTCTGTGGCAGTATATTGCTACCAGCTACTACAAATGTACCTGAAATAAGCCTTTTGGTTTTGATTTTGCTAATAGAACTTATTGTAACAAGTTCCCACCTCAGCTATGCTGGCTAGCAGTATGTCTCTCTTTAAGCCCAGTGTCCCACAAGGCACTCATCTCTAATTTTAATAGCATTTAGTGACAAGTATTTTCATCCCACCTAGATGGGATGCTAGTCCATAACGATTACCCTCAAGACCCAATAATTCTCGTGGATGATAAGAGGCATAGATAAACAAAACCCATTGCCATGTCCTTTCTTAGGCTTGAACCCAAATCACTTCATCTAGAGATCAGTGCATCAACTGACTAAAAGCTTGTATTTTACTCATTGTCAACATGGTAGAAATTTGCCCAGAGATAATGATCATTTGCGTAATGCTTTCAAACTAAATTGACCACCAGACACTAACGTTGTAGTAGAAGTTAATTTCGTCAACAGGAAAATGACCATTTTGCACAAGTTGTTGAAATTTTATTTATGTTACAAGTAGTATTTTGGCAGCTACTGACATCCTCTAGAATGATGTATCAGGCATTAATGATGTAGTAAGTATTGTTTCTGTTTATTGACAGACCAAGACCAGCAGCATGCCAGAGAAAAGCATGTGCATTTTCTAAGGATGATGTGCAATGTGATAAAATGGCTTTCCCATATACCAAGTTTTGCAAAGATCGTATCTTTTCAGCAACTGATAGGGGTTGTACTACTTAGTTAAGGAAAAATTGCTGGGATTCTAGATATGGAGGTCTTTGCTTGATCAGTAGCAAGGGTGGCTAGGCAAACAAAATTAGTTAAAATTATTGTATGTATGTTTGTGAATAATGGCCAAGTATTCTAAAATTTGAAACATTTATGATTCAAGTTTGTTTGTTTGTTGGTGGTTCAGTGTCATCACCCCCATAAAACATTTGCTTAAAGTGTATATTCCTTGACTGTTGAGATTCACACAAAGCTTGTAAAGTTGTATTCTGAGTTAGCACCTTTAACTGAATGGAAATTGTTAGATATAATGAATGACTCCAAGCAGGTACTATATGCTCAGTGCACGGCAAAGTGGCCCGGAGGTTTGCAGTGTTCTGTGCCAGTGTTTGATGTTATCCACGAGCGACCTCTTTGTGATGAGCATGCTAGGAAAAAGGTAGTGTTTCTAAATATGCTGTGAGTAATATGACAGTTAAGGTGGCTCAAAACAGTAATATTTCTGTGAGACACCTGGTCTCTAGCCCACACTTCAGTGCAAAGCATCACATGATCACCTGAGGGGTCACGAGATTGAAGTTTGCAAAACTTAAAACAAACATGGTGGCATGAGGCCTACTTTGTAAAACTTTGTTTCTGCCAAGTTTGAAAAACAGCAGGAAAAAAACTACTCTAACTTCAAGTTTTCTTTGTTCTTTCTACTCCATTCTTTTTCACCTTGGTATATTTATGGTACTCTTCTTCTACTGCTTATGCTTCCAAAGACAACAGCAAAAAAAGAAAACACTATATGCGTTTATTTGCATTGAATTGTGGGCTTTACTGATCAACGGACTGCCTTCACAGGTGCACAAGGGGCAATCTTGCAAAGTTGAGATTTTAATTTGCGTGTAGAATGTGTGTGAAAAATTCCTTATCCACGAAGCTTATGTCTCAAAAACTGATCCGGCGACCCTACTTTTTTAAACAAATGCAAAAACATATTCAACGGCAAAAGCGTAATACATGTGTGAAATTGTAAAAAAATTTGTGGAATGAAATTCCTCCAACTTGGAAATTTCCACTTTTTTTAAATTTAAGCAAAATCTACTCCACAGAATTTTTTTCTAATGTTCCCTGTTTCTTCTTTTGGGGCTGATAAAAAGATTTTTAGAATAAAAACATGGGATCATGGGCTTAGTTTTTAAGATAGATGCAATTGATGGTAAGAAGTGGGTCAAGTTTGTTGCTATGCAACAGAACAGTGCAACCTTAATTTACTACTTAACACTGTGAAAGGTATAGTGGAGAGTTACCTTAAAAAATAGCGCAGCAATTTAAAACAGTGCAGTTCCAAGCCTGAAAAATCGCACCTAGTTCTCAAAGTTGAGCCACCTTAAACCCCCCAAAAGACATTGTGCATAAACCATTTTTAAAAACTTTTTGGTTGACCATTATTCAGACTATGAGTAGTCCCTCTTTTGCTTAGTCCCTCGTGCGTGATGCGAAAGAAAACCGCGAGAAAAAAATGGCCACGCAAAATCCTGGGGATGAGGAGTGTGCGAAAGGAGGGACTACCGCCTAAGCCCAAGAGTTTGAATTGTGCATTGCTCTCACAACGCAAAAATATGATTGACTTATGTTAGGACATGTGACGTCTTGCAGGAGTAGAGCAGTTTTATTTAGGATATCTCTTGGGGTTAATGACAACAGGTGATAGTAAGAGGATGTCAAGATAAGAAATCCTACACCAAAAAATCACTCAGCCGTGAAAGGGCAAACTCTTGGGCTTAGGCAGTAGTCTCTCCTTTTGCACGATCCTCGCCCCCAGGATTTCGCGTGGCCATTTTTTTCTCGCGGTTTTCTTTCATGTCATGCATGACGGACTAAGCAGAAGAGGGACTACTCGTAGTTTAACCCTTATTTTGTATTTTCTACTCTCACAATTAAGTAGTAGAGCACTTTTTCCATGTTTAGATAGCCTCATCTAAACACAAGTGGGGTTAGGAGAATTCAAGACAGTTATGAAAACACTTGACGTTGTCTGAGGTTGGCATAACTTTTGAGAATTCCCTTTTGAGAATGTGCAGGTTACTAAAAATTTTGGTGACAAAAAAGCACATGCCCAACGTAGAAATTACAGAAATTAGCTACATGGTTTTATTTTTTGCAGGCCAAGTTTCAGGAAGCTCAAGCCCAGGCTCAAGCTGCAGCAGCAGCAGCAAAGACATCTCCAGGAGTAATCAAACCTCCTGTGAAGAAACCACGCCGCAAACCGCAACCAAAGGCATCTTTACCTCAGAAGGTCCCGAAACTCCCAAAAAAGCTGCTCAATAGGAAACCTGTTGCTCCAAGGCCAAACAAGGCAAGAGTAGTAAAGACACCGAACAATTCTTTAAGACCTGTTGGCTTGGACAATTCATTTAGTCCAGACAATTCATCTGATATGTTGTCTCCAGATATCAGTTTATCGTTATCATCAGACTATTCACATGGGAGTGCGTCTTCTCCAATATCACCAGCACTCGATGACTTTCAGCAATATGATTCTTCAATGTTTGAATCTGAGCAAAGAGATGATATACTTCTTGGTGGGCTAGAACATGAGGAAAGTGAACATGACATTCTTAACGACAATTTCCCAGGTGTGTCTAATGGTAGTTCTTCCATCAAAGGCCTTTATCCTGGCAAAGACAAGAATTGTGGAGCTGGACACTCTGTGCCTGCTTCAGTGATTACACACACACCAGGGTTGTTAAACAGCCCTGCCTTTCTTAGTGCCAGTCAAGGTGGCACAGGCTTGACGGACTCCAGAACTAAATTGTCTCCACTCAATAGCAAGAGTAAGACAAACAAAGGTTCTAAACCAAGAGAAACAAAGAAACTGGTTAATGCAAGTAATGCTTCTTCCCACTCAGTTGAAAGCATTCTATCACCAAACATTCATCATAACAACATGAAAATGGAGAATAACAAGATAAAAGAACTTGCGCTTAACAAAGACCCCATGTTCTCTCCTCCACATGGACTTCTAGGAAGTAATGACTTGAAGTCACACAGCAATGGTGTTACCTCTGATCATCTCCACTCTCCGTCCATGACAATGGATGCTATCCTGTCTCCTACGCAAAGATCCTGGTCAGCAATTGTTAGTAGTAACACGTCTCCAGCTTCATCATCATTTACGTCACCACTTAATTCTTCACAAACTGGATTATCAAGACTAGTGTCACCACCTTTTTCTCCACCCTCAATGTCCCCTCACATTTCACCCCACACTACCCTTGGGAGTGTCTTCACATTTGACAGACCAACACACTTTCAACAATCTCATATTACATCACCGACACTTAGTCCCGCTAGTCCATCATTCCTTCAAGGGCAAATAAAGCAAGCAGGGGCACCTTATCAACGGCCCAATGAGCTTGACAACACTGAAGATCCATTTCTTTTCCCAGTTGACAGAGACCAATCGTTATTTGGTGGTCCATTTAATCAGAATCATGACACTTCCTTGGGTGACCTGCGATTAAGATGAATGGCATGTTGAGCCCTATGTTTGTCCCCCACAAGCAAAGCAGAAAGTTCTTTAACATCATTTTGGGCAATATGTGGAAAATATCTTTTATGTGGTGAAAGTGACAAGCTAATGTGTCATCTATCGCTCTGTCTATAGATGCAACTTCTTTGTGGACTGTAAAAATCAGGGACCTGTCTGCAATTTATGCGAAGATTTTCCAGACATGACATTTTTTTAGCAACAGCTTAATTTGATTGGTCACTGCTGAAGAAACAGAGAGCTTGTTGTTACTACTATGTAAATATGGACACTGTAAATATTAAGCCGTTCCTCTCCTTTCTCAAAAAGGTGCAACTCTCCACAGAAAGAAAACATTGTGGTCTGTGATCAGTCTGTTTCTTAAAATCTGTGTGGAGTGAACACAAAAATAGCTTGCTCTTTGAGCACCCAGAAGCCCAGCCACCGTGGGCCTGTGCTGCTTGTGGCTTTTAGTTTTACTGCATGCTGCAATTGGATCATGCTACTTTTGCATTCACTCAACACTACTTTATAGGGAAAACAAAGCTTCTTACAGTCTAAAGGAATGAAATTTGCAGGCCTAGTATTGTAAATTGACTTTACTTTACATATTTGAAGAGAAATCAATTAATTTGGAACCAACGTGATGAGGAGTTCTGAATCACTTGTTTGACTGTCAAAATATTTTCCCTTTTCATCTTGTCGATTTTTAGACCAGTTAAAACATTCCACAATCTTTATTCATTCATGAAAGTCCTGTTGGTTTTTTTGTGGTTGTATCACTAATAATTGTGGAATATTGAAACTACCACAAGTGACCTGAATTTGAAATTTAGAACTGCATTTAAAATGCAACTGATGTTATTTTGAGGAAACCACTGAACACTTTATACCGTATTTATGCAACTTCGTCTCAAAGATGGCTTGAAATATTAATACTGCGATTACTCTCTGTGAATGTTCAGGTGGATTATAGTTTCTTTTCCTCAAATTGGTTGGTTTTGTATGTTGTGATTCAACATTTAACAGTCCCTTTTCAGGGTATTTCTTTCTTGTCGCCATGTTACGAAAACTTTGAATTCTACAGTGTTTTTTCAAAGAAATCCCTGGGGTGTGTTGAAACCTTTGGATGTTTGTTTTTGTTGTATTTGCAAGCTCTTTCACGCTGTATGTAGCTCAATGTTTTGTCCTCAACATGGGTACTAGTTTATTTTTTCTGTCTTCTCATTTTGGGCTTGTCTTTATATTCAGCTATTTGTACTGACCTATATGTTAGTTTCATGAAAATGTTGAGGGGCTGCAGCCAGGATAGGTCACGCTAAAACTTAAAACGTTTTCTGGCCAAAACTAATTGTTAAACACAAGCTTTTGACTGCATTAACTGCAGTCTTCATTGAGTGAAGTGTTTCAATAGGCACAAGAAATTCAAAATATAGAGTGATATAAAGAATATAATAAAATAAAATTAGGAATTTTTACTAAAATAGAATGCTAGCAAACCATGATGGCTCCCAGTGTGGACAATAACTAATATTCTTTATGGCAAAAATTCTTAATTTTAATCTACAATCTTTTTATCACACTATATCTTAGAATTTTCGGTGCCGCCTTCATCATTTCACCTTTTAAAGACTGCAAAGCTTGTGTTTTCAAAATATTCTTAGTCAGAGAACGTTTTAGTTTTACTATATTTATTTCGCTTTCTTCTTGAAGCAAGTAAGTTTGATTTTTGTTGCTTAGGGCAATGCTTTGGGCAAAATACCACTACTACTTCTTCCTCGTTGATGATGAAGTGATGTGCTTAAAACTTGAGATACATTCTTGGCCTAGCTATTTAAAATCTCCTGTTTTATCATTGTACATTGTACAGCAATCACTGAGAAAGAAGATGGATTGCTCAAAGTACCGATGCTAGCGTTAAAAAGAGAAATATTGCTTTCCACTTTCTTGTGCTTTTATCAAACAAGATCCCTCTATGTAATAGAGATTATACTCCCAAACAAACAGTACTGTGGCCTCAGAACTTAAAATATATTTAATATAGAACATTTGTATAAAAAAATAAAGTATTTTCTGACAACATGATGACCTTGTCAATTGTTGCTAAGGATCCTTCCAGTGATGAATATTAAATTTCTCTTTTATGAGGCTCTCACGGCGACAATTTTAATCCATCACAGTCTTTCGTATTCCACTGAAAATCCAGGGCTGCTTGAGAGAGAAAAGAGGAAAACGAAAAACAAAACCATTTCTATTGGCTCTATAGCATTTGCAATTTCCTCAGAGATTTGGCATTCAGCTCCCCTCCTCTGCAAGGGCTGGGGTTGTGGATACTCCACCGACAATGGTAGAGTTTTAGCGAATTGAAGTGTAGAAAAGGCTAGGAAAAACTTTCATTCAGGCTTTTGAAAGCGGCTTTCAAAATTTCGTACAGGTATATTAGTGACGAGCAGGTGCGAAGGCCTCTCGGGTTTGAAATTAGCCCGGGGAGTACTCCCTTATATGGGCTATATGGGTATGTGCCGCCCCAAAGGGTATGGATTTTCAGCCGTTTTGGTCATAAATAGGGTTTTTACCACTATTGCTACTAATCTCGCAATCTGATTGGCTAATTTGCCGTTGTCGATCAGAGTCCAGACAACGTTGCCCGCGTCATTGTGCCACGCTCTGAAAAAACATTTTCTTTGACGTTGATATTATGGTGAAAAAGCAAATCGAATGTGGTTTATGGTTGTCTGTACTCTTATCGACACCGATATGCGTCATCACAGTGGTCAAAATTTGTTGTGGACTCACGAGGCGCAGCACTGAGTGAGTCCACAACATTTTGACCAGTGTGATGACGCATATCGTTGTCGATAAGAGTACAGACGACACTAATCCACATTCGATTTGTTAAATCGATTTTAGCCATTTTGATCATAAATAGTGTCTTGGTTTTGCACGCTAGTCTTGAATTGGGCATGTTTTTTTAGAAGATACTACTTTTTTTATCATTATCGATAAGACCGATCAAAAAAAGCCCTTCACGATGCCTTTAACATTGGTCTGAACTAGGGAACTAATTATAATGCTGGTCTGAAACAGGGTATTGATTTAGGGTCAAGTCATAAATAGGGTCTTGAAAATCGAAGAAATTGGTCATAAATAAGGTAAGAGTTTTGAGAAGCGGGCCGCACACCCGCACCCAATTTTTCTCGGAGTACCCCCGCCGGGGCCGGAGGGGAAGTAGCGATTTTTTTTTAGGGTAGAAATTTTCCGGTGGACCTTTTCTCCGGTGAAGATTTCCCCAGGGGGCTCTATTTTGTCATTCAGCCTGTACATATCCCATTGAGAGGGACCATGCCTTCTCCTTGTTATAATTACGGAACAATAGATAATATTAGCAGGCAGAGATAAACCAGCTCCTCAACTGAAAAGAGAACAAAAAGCAACAAAGGCAGAAATTCTTGGAGAGCGCGAGAGAGAACGGGGAACAGAAATCTGAGAAATCTCGGGGTTTCCTGTTTCAGACATACAGCGCGGCATTATGGGAAGCATCTTCGACACAGAAGATGGTGGTTTTGCTGGCGCGTATTTCAAACACATGAACAGCTTTGAAATACCGAGCGGCCGTCGACGCTCTTACGACGATTTCACCATGCCAAGAAACGCCTGCATTCCCGTGACAACAAAGAGGAGAAACAGCTTTAGTAAAGGTATGTTTTGTAGTGTTAAATCAACCGGGTAAACAGGAATGTTTGTGCGAAGCTCGAGTGCGCAGCTCGTGGAATTGAAAGTTTCCGGCACCTTGCCAGAACATTACGACACAAGAACATTTATCCTGGATTACTTTAAATGGTAACTTGGTCCATTAATAAGATGAGATTCATTCTCCTATATAAAATCCGTGTCGATTCTGCCCTCTCATGGTGGCTTCCCAAATTGTCCAGTTTTCGAACAGCGGGGGTTCATTTCAACATCTTCTGGTCACGTACGTCCTATAACTTGTGCTGGTTGTGTAGCTGAAACAGGCTACCAGTTTTTTAAAATTTCGAATTACTCACTCCCTTGCTTTGCAAAAAAAATCCAAGCATTCCTTGCTTTGTTTAAATATAAATTTTTTAAATCAGCGTCCGACGAGTTTGTACATTTTGCAACGAACATCCTTCAACAATCGAACTTAGAAACCTCGAAGGATTGGAAAGTCGCTCGATATCAGTTAGATTTCACGCCTGTATTAAATTTATAGACTTTCTCTCCTGGTACCAGAGGTTTTCTTTCTCTCTTTCTGCTAAAGTACACAGCTTCGTTGCCGGTGAAAGATGTTTTCTTCTCTCACCACTTGAAAGAGGAAAGACTTTCTGGCACCAGGAAACTTCGCAAACTTTCCGAACGAATGCTCGTTTTGGGGCGAAAAATCAGTCATTCTTCGTAAATATAGGCTTATAAACTTGTAAATTGTAAGCGCTTGGTCAATTTCAATTCAATCGTTTCTTGGGGTGAAAGTTAGACTTCTACAACCGTAGGTTTTATCGCTGTTGGACAACTCCAGCGCTAACTGAAACCTCAGTATCTTGAATTCAATAAGCTTAGATGTAATATTGCAAATCATTATGCGCTTTCTCACACTAGCAACGTGTCGCTTCGTGATATTTTTTCGTTTCGTGGACAGCTTTAAATTTTTTAGTTAGTATTTATAATTGTTGTTTGTATCCAGATGCCCTTCACTACAATGAAAGCCCTTGGGATGTCTTTGGTCTTCTTGCAAACAAAGCGTGTGTAATTGTGTTTGCCCATTTGGGGCATAACTGGATTAGCAAACGAATTTTTATTTGCTTTTTCACGATTTTCTGTCTGTGTTTACTGTCTCAGTTTTCGCTTCAAACGTTTCCCTTTAAAAAGCAGTCATGGGATGGAAGAATGTTGAAGTTTTCCTAATTCTGTGGATTTTTTTTTTAACCAGCTTTGAACTTCGGAAATGCAAACGCAATAGCCCAAGTAATACATTTTAATCACTTGGACTCAACGTGAGTTTCTTCAGCACGTAAATAAACAAACATGTTTTTTCCACGAATTCTTCCACGTACAAAAATGAAAAGCTTTCTACCTTGTCAATAGTTTTGGCCGGCAGAATGTTTTTATAAACTTACTTTCAGATTTTTATCAGTTATACGCTTTGGTTCCTCCTGAAGAACCACTTATTAGTAAGTGTTTTGTTTTTAAGCTAATTACGGTTTTTGTAATATTTAATCTGTGATGCAATCTCTTTTCGAAGAAGTACTGCCTTTTGCATCTGCTCGCTATTAGTGTTCTTACTTTGGCGGTAATTAAACTGAAAAGTTTTTTTTTTTTGTTATTCCAAACAATGTCTGTTTACTTTCTAAACTTAAGAAAGTTTCAACGGAGGAAGAATTTTGTACAATGTAGCAGTGGCAGTGACATAAGGAAGCAAAAAACCAATGTGTTGCCTTTCGTTTTAAGTAGAAAAAATTCTTAAATTTCATTTCTTTGAGAGAAGGCTATGAAGCGAGGGGACTCTCATTGAGAGGCAAAACTTTCTTTTCTATTTGTAGCGTTAAAAAGTCATCATCCCAATACATTATCAGCAGATAACGTTCATTTGGACTTTCGCTAAAAACGGCTTGAAAATCTGACGTAACATTTTTAATTTCACAGCGTGCTTGCAGGTGGTTTTATTCGGTTTTATTTGCCAATTCTCGCAAACGTGTAGAAATGCGCACAGCTGGGAGAAGACAGAAAACTGCCAAGCTGAGGCAGCGTCCACACTGCGTCGGAGAAATTTGAAAACGCAGCCCTGTGTCTACGGTTAGGCCTACCGTCCACACTAATCCGTCGAGAAAACGGAGCTTTTCGAAACGCTTTACAAACCAGATGGATTTGAAAATGCGGGCTTTTCGTTTTCGTGGGGACCGAAAATATTTTGGAAACGGAGTTTTTCGAAAGGATGGCGTTAGGAAAATCATGTGATATTCCTGACTGAGTTTTCCTCAAACGCAAATCCAAAATTGTTGCGTTTTCAATTTCTCCGGCATAGTGTGAAAGGAAAACATTTGATACGCTTTCAGAGTGAAACCTCCGTTTTCAAATTCCTACAGCGTATGCACTTTAATAGACCCTATTCATAAATGGCTGCCAATTAAAATTCTTTTCACGTTAACTATTAAAATTAGCCCAACTAACCTCGTTTTTGAGTTGATAATTCAAAAGAATTTCTACTCTCAAACTAGCTTAGTTGGGCTAATTTAAATGCATACAAAAGAATTTTAAACTGGCAGCCATTTATGAATAGGGTCTATTGTTCGCTGGTACCTCTCTCTCCACGCAAAACCTCCGCTGGGGGAACAATCGACTGTTATTACAAGCGTGAGAATTTAAAGGACGCTACCTAGACTTGTTTCAGAAGGTCGTGACGGTACCGACGTTCGTTTCCCGCCAATACGCTTGAACCACACGCGCGCCTTGCCAGCTCGCTTAGTGTTGTTCCTGGCTTGTTCTTAGGGGAAGTAGAAGTGAAAATATCTTTACTTAGATCGAAATTATTTTTTCACAACTGACTCTTCACGAAATTAAGCGGCGCAGTTTTAGAAACTAACCAATTTTAGGCGCAGTGTCAATTTCTTGTACGCTGTTGGGGATTTTAGCTTAGTTATTAATCGGATAATAAGATGTATTGACCAAGCGTGAGGTCAAGATGGAAGAATAATGGCCTCGTTCTTTTTTTTTTTTTTTTTTTCGTGTTGTCGGCCAAAAAAAGGAAAAGGAGAAAGCCAATATCCAGTCACCTTGCCAAATTCGCAACGTTAGTCATAAAGGATTTGTTGTATGGATAAAAAAGAACATTATTTTCTTCCGGGAAACAGCGGACAATCCCTTGTTGGCAAGATAGTGCCATCCCATAAGCATGGGTAGCCAATCCCAGAGCAGGATTTGGTTCATCTTGTCTGCTCGCGGAGCTAGCCGTGTAATAAATCTTGTATCGTTCGTTCGCTTTGGCTTGCACTGACGAAAACGTGAGCTTATAATTTGAAGGCTCCGTTGCGTGCCATGGCGTGAAACATGTGCTTAGTCAAGACGTCCCTTTGTTTTCATGTCTGAGAGCATAAGCTTGCAGTGAAATCTCAAGTAGTCTCCTGGATAGAAATAAACGGTTTAGTTTTAAAACCAATTTAGCAGTTTGCGGAATTTTTAGACCGTTTTTTTTGGAACGTGGATGTGAGTGTAATCACCTTCGATGTCCTTTTCGCACACAACCCAGGAACACTCACTACTGTTCCAGCAAAACAAGAAAGAGTACATGTACTACTATGAAATATTTTCTTGCGACGTCAATGCACGGTAAAATGACGACAACTGGAAAGAAACATGAGGATAATTTTAAGTTTAGACTTTCTGGGTTAAGTCCACTGCCATAGATTCTTGAAACAACTTCGCACGGTTTAGAAAGTATCTTTTTTATAGGCGAACGACACATCGCTTTAATATTGAGGGTATTTTTCATGAAATGTCCGTGCTACTGGACTGAAACCCACCTTTTTCGGAGATGATAAGGTTTTTATTAGAGTTATTCTCGTGAATAAACCTTTAACCCACCTTTTCCGGTTGTCTATGCCCAGTGTGGATACATGGGGTGTTGAACAATTCACGATAACTAACTGGAGTGTTTATAATCAATCTTATTGGGTGTGTAGCGTGTGTTCATTCACTTATTGCACAGACAATGAGGTCGATTTCAGCGTGGCCTTTATAGCCGCACAGTCAGTGAAGCAAGCAGCCTGGTATTATCTTTTCGATCGTTTAATATCGTTCTTACCGCAGAATCAATAAGTGTTTTTAAACCGTTGTTGTTTCTTTTGCTTTGTAAGGAAAACTTCCTGTAATGATCATACAGTCGGTTTGTTTTTTAGTGCTTTACCTTAAATTACCTTAACTTCTTCCATGTTGTGTAGACTTGTCGAGTTAGCTCTTTCTTTAAGGATTTAAATCTAAGAAGTATTTAAAGATGGTTAAACTAATTAAGATCAATCACTGAGCTACCGCGCTGAACAGTGATTAGAAGGGAATTTTTCCCTTGTCCGGTCAGTTTTATCGTGCCCGTTGGCCATAGTTCAAGGTTTAAAACCGTTTAATGCAGTCAAATTTGATTAAGATCTGATTTCTCCGAACAATATTGGCACTTGTCATGGAAAATGATTGCGAGAGTAGCGAAATTCGTCAAATAGAGAATATTTATCCCAATTTATCTCCCAGTTCTCAGCAAAATGTTTTGTAATCTAACATACAGTGGAATCCCGATTAATCTTAACTGCCAATAACTCGAGCCAAGAGTTCGTTACCCTCTCGAACAATGTAATTTTATCCCCGATTTCTCGCACTACCCAATTTTTTAAACCGATTTTCGTTTCCCGTGGAGGTTTGAAAAATCGGGATTCCAGTTTATACTCATATTTTGAGCTTGGGCCGACAAAGAGTAGTTTCAACTATATTAGTGAAATTACCCGTGAAGAGCGAAAACCCTTGAGCTAAAATTCGGAAAATTTTATTACATTATAGTTAGTCGGACAAATTAAGTTCGTGACGTGACGAGAAGGTTTCCTCCTTTTGGTGAAATAAACCGTCTCTTTTCCTGCCTGTGGTTTAGTACACGGGATGTCTGCATTGTTTTTCCGGTAATTTACAGTATTGTTTTTTAGTCTAATACCTCTCCACGCCTAGTTTCTTTTGTTTTCCACTTCATTTCATATTCAATATTGGTGCGGCTGTCTGACAACACAAGTGTCTCATTTGTTTCGCGAGGAGTGCACAGCTAAAAATATTTTCGTTGAGCCGTGGTATGACCAGCTAATAATCCGTAGAAAAAACGTTGTTGTTGATCTTGATTCGTCCAGATGCCGACGGCACGGTGGCATTTTCGAGTGAGTAGATCGAGGTCTTCCTCTTCCAGGGGTGAGTTCACTTTCAAATAGTTTTGTTTTTAAAACGTTCCAGAAAGTAAAATTTCCGCCAGCGGTTTCGGTTAAGTTAACCGGTGTTTGCTACCGTCAACAATATTTGCGCTAAATTGCTTTTTACAGGTAGCAAAATGTAATGCGATGTTAATATGACGTTAGTTTTGTTTGACTGTGGTAGAGGAACAGGCTGTGTTGTGAAATTTGCTTGTTTTTAGTGTTGAATTGTATAAAGCTTGTCGCCGATTTGAAGTTGTACGGAACTATTTCAGCACTTGACGGCCGAAGCCAAAGTCCAAACTCGGTGCAGAAATTTAAACTTCGCGTCTTGGAGATAAAAACTTTTTGAACTGTAAGTTAAATGATATGAAAAAAGATTATATTCCATGCTGCAACATGGTTATTGCAACAGAAGTTAACCATCACGAAAAATCAAAGCCAAATTTGACGACACAAACTTTGTTCGACTATATTTTGTGAAACCCAAGAGAAAAAAAAAATGGTGAAACCATTTCTTTTCTCTGCGTTTAAGGGGACATGTCATTTATAGAGCTCCCGTCAAGAAACCATTTACATTGCTGGGTTTCTTATAAACTATGACATGTATCTTTGTTTTTGAGCTTAAGAGATAATGATATTATAATCGATTACCAGACGAAACGAGAATGTGTTTCGAGTGAATACTTTCAGTTCCAAATGGAGATTTATGTTACAACAAAACAAGACAAAACAAACATAACTTCGTTAGCGCTTTCGATTTCACAAATATCTTCAAAATTGCTCTTTTGTAATTTTCGTGCACGCAGCGGCTTCATCTGTGAAATTAGCAAAAACCACAGTTTATAAAAGGTCAAACAAACTTAACATTGTCCTTTGGAAATATGGACTAAATGGAGTTAATTATTCTCTTGTTTTATCGTTAATGGCATTCCCGTGTAATTTTTTCGTCGCCAACTCGCTGCAGCTCTCATTTTAGTAAATACGTGTTGTTGTTTTAGCAGTTGAAGAGTTTTCCTGTCTGTCGTCGGCGGTTTTCAAGTGAATTATTATTCATTCAAGATCACAGAGTCAAGATCTCATGAGTTATTCATTCGGTTTATTACGACAGAAGAGTCTGCGATTTTATAGTGCTTGCTATTTACCACGCAACCGCAGGATTTCCCGCGCTTGGCAACTCGTAATATAGCATTACATACACCAAAAGCGGAGAAACCAAGTTTTATGCAAGTTATTTCGCATCTTGTTGCCGCAACTTAAGTGACTTAACACGCTCGTAAAGGGAACCGATTTCGAGAGGCTCAAAACTGATAACCTAGATCACAGGAAGTTTGATGCTTGAGAGTAGTTAACAGTCATTGGCCTCAGTGTCGATGAAAGTGGCGGATGTTTACCTTGCCGCGAAAAATGATTGTGCGGCTCGGAGTTGAATGTTCTTCCGTGCTAATTACTTCCGAGCTAGCCAATCAGCGCGCGAGAAAAGCACTATTCACTTGTGCGGATTCTTGTGTGGTAGATAGAGGCTATCACAACCGCGTGGGGATACGAATTTTATCTAGGAGTGCTGATGGTATCTCTCACGGGTGAGGGTAGAGAACGAGTGACATATACCGTCAACGCGAGAACCCAATGGCTAACGATTGCGAACNTGAAAGAATAGTTTGCGCGCTGTCAAATTAAAAAGCTTTGTATCTATTGTGTTTATGTTTCGTATCAAAGGAATTATCGTCCAAACATTCCATTCTTCAATTATACAACAAAAGAACAGGGAGCGTGTTTATTGTTCCTCTTGAAAATGCCAATTATAACTCGCTCCATCGCGCCGTTTTCTTTGACAAGCGCAACGAAGCACAACAAGAAAACCCTGATTAGCATACTTTGGCTAAAGTGTTTTCAAGAAGTAAGTTTGACCTCTGATTAATTGCAAACAGTTTCTTGTGTGATTTGTGTACAGAGTTCTGTATTTGTGACAAATATACAAATTCACTCTATTTGGGCAGTCTTAACTTGGACAGAGGCTTGTTTGGTTTGGTTATAGACAACGCCCAGAAATCGAAGATGTTCCTTTAATAATCTGTTCCTGTGTCAGATCAGAGTTCATTTCTTGCTATTCCGGGCAAAATGAAACAGTATCTGTTCAGGTGTTTGCTTAAAATGAGACTAAAAACCCTTAAACTGCGCTTTCGGCTACTGGACAAACTTTAGAGCAATGCGTGCTCTTGGCAACGGGGTGCAAGCTAAACGGGGGGCTAAAATGGCGACATATTCTTCTTTAGTTTTGTGTGACATTTGTTCTATATTTGTGGTGGTCAAATTGACTTGCCTCTATCAAATCGAAATCTGCCCTTAAGGTCTTGACCTGAATCCGCTTTTATGTGTGATCTTGGCAAAGATTAAATCTGATCTTGTCAAAGACTTGATGGCGAAATTGAACGCTATCCCAGCTTACAGATTGGCCGAAAATCCTTTCCCACGCCGAGGGCTCGCCTGCCGGCATTGGAAGTTTCCTAAAGAGGAGCTATTAAGGAAGTATTCGCACAGCTGCAAATTCGAGAGTCAAATGATCCAGACACGCGTTGAAATGTTTACCCCGGTCCATTACAATTCTCGTCAGACCTGTCAACCTTTTTTTCCGCAGTCGCATCGAACAATCTAAACCAATCAGGTTGAGTTCTCCTATGATGCTTTTCTTCAACCTCTACCGAAGCGTGTCGGAATTGTTTCGCTATCTTTGACGTTTAAGTCAGTCAGTCTGTGTTTGCCAGTCGCGTTGCGTGTTCATGTTTTTACGGCAGTCGCTTTGCGAGCGTGATCGCGCATCAGCGCTAATTGGAGCTCATAATTGATGTGGCTTAGTTTACGTCTTTGCGATCATACCGTCCTTTTGAGCTCACAGAAGCTACCATGAGCTCAGGTAAAAACAGATGCTTTCGAGTCTCGCGTTATTTCGTCGCTTGAAGCTTTCTAATTGTCGCGAGGACAGCTGTGCTACTATCCCGAGTTTGCCTCTGTTCTGCGCGCAGCGGTATATTTCAACTTGAAGCCGTTCTCAATCAAATTATTTTCTTCCAGGGCTCAAGGGGAAACTTTTTGGTGGCGTCAAAGTCAAAAGGGCCCGCTCGTTTTCTGGCAGAGAAAAACAGAAATGGTCTGCGACGAAGGAACCGAAAGACGGTGAGTCCATTTAGAATCGGAAGTCTGTAGTTTATAGTAATGACTTTCAGGAATTTTTCATTGTCTCTCACTAAATCATTTAGTGCTCACTTTAGCTTCATTACCATGGATTTATTTTGGGTAATTTCACGCGTTATAGTCCGTGGTTATTGTTGCGGCTTGATTCTCACTCGGGTCAGTCGAGATATCCGGTTGATTCGCATTTACCAACGATTTTTACAACAGTGCAAAAAAATTTTTGATAACGCCCAATTTGCAAGATGATAGAATAGCACACAGTGTGTCGCGCGTTCTTTGACGGTTCTTAGCTGCTTCTGAATTAGCAATCGGCCTAAATCTTTGTGGTTATTTCGGTAAACGAAGGAATTCATCTCCCCGTCACGTACTCCCTGAATCTTTACTAAGTCAATTTAAATATTGTTAAAGGTTACTCGTGTGTGTATTGTCTTGATCTTACCAGTGACTTGCGGTAAATCGAACAAAGCCCCGGTCAGGCCTAATGAACGGGTGCTTAAAAGGCACAACCAATTTTAGCAAATCTGTTTATTGGCAACGATTTTTTACATTCCTCCCGAATGAAATCTTTATTTGTGGCAAATCAGCCGTTGTTCTTCAATTCTTAAGCACTGACAAGTCGCTTTGGAAGTGAGTTTGAACTGTGTTGTTTAGAACAGNAATGTGGAGAATAGAAAAAACTGATGTCATTTCATTCTTTACAGACACAGCCACCACTGTCAGTGACTCTGAGGCTAAAAACAATGCACGTCGGCCAAGAAGGCGCACCACAGGAGGTTCAGAGGTTGGGGAGGAGGTGGAAAAGGCAAAGAGATTACAAGGTCAGGGGAATTCCAGTGAACCAGATGCCCAGTCCACGCAGACTCTTTCTCGCCAGCAGATTATTGCCATGGTGAAGAAACGGTTTGGTTTGAAACCAGGAGAAGAGAATGGTAACAAGCCAAATGGAATTCAAGAAGAACCACCGGTAAACTATTTTTCATTTATCCTGTTGCTATAGAAGGGAAATGATAGAAATATAGGAGTTAGTCACAAGTGGTGAATGGTGGTGTAGTGAAAATCATCAAGACTTTGATCTTGAAATTTAAGAAGAATTCAGAGCTCTTGTCTTGTGTTGACAGAAATAACAACAGTGTGAATACTGATTTCCTGCTTCTTTTAGTACTAAACAGTGAGTGGTTTCATTGAGCAGATTAAATTTTATAACAAGTTTTGTTTCATCTTTAAGAGCTTACTTTTCCCATTTGCTGGTAATTAATGTTTTCTCTTGTTCATTACTGACAGTAGCAGCAATTTTTGTAACTTTGTGTTCTGGATGGTCATTTAAATAGTAATATTTTTGAAAAACCCATTTAGATTTTTTTTCATGCATGTATTTGTTAATTTTTTCAGTGACACAAATCTCCAGGTCTGAAATAATCTGCCATTATTAACACCATATATGGCTTGCATATGCATCTTATTCAATGGGATTAGGACTAAGCTATCCTTGATTAAAATGAATGACTTTTGTCTCTTGAAAAACTTGTATATGCAAATTTCTCAGTGTGGGTCTTCAAATATATGTTGTCACTACAAGACTCTAC